GTTTGTTGTATTCATTTTGATAATTGATAAACCGTTTGCTCCTATTAACAAGTCTTCATACCACTGTTAATAGTTAATTACACCTCTTTTATAATTGATCGTACTTAATTCCTTCTACGTATAAACCCTTGTATTGTGATTATTTTATCTTGAGATTAGTAATTCTTATAGCTTTATTTAGTTTTGTTTATTAGTTTTAGTATTATTTCTCCCGTTGTCTTTGTAAATTATAGAAGGTTTACACGGATAGCAGTACCTTTCTGTGAACAAGGATTTGAAGAATAATATATAAATATAAACTAAACTATAAATAATAACTCCATCAGAAAATTTAATTAGGCATAGATTTATGGAAATATTACATGACTTCTAGAAATTTATATCTAAAAATTTTAATTTTTTAACTTCAGCTGAGATTTAAATGACAGAGGGTGATTTTCTACTAAGATATTTCTAAGATAGATCAAAAGCCCTGGTTTTTGACTACAAGATAATATATGTTTTATTACTATAGCATCGATATTCGTAAAGAAATTCATGTTTAAATTCAAACGTCCATGAAAATTTATACTATAATTTTTCCGTAAATTTTCGTAATTCTGCCAGAAATTTTTGTGATATAATAAAAATTTCTGACAGAATTACGAAAATATCAATGCTATAGTAATGAAACACATATTATCTTGTAGTCAAAAACCAGGGCTTTCAATCTATCTTAGAAATATCTTAGTAGAAAATCACATCCTGTCACTTAAATCCTGGTCGAAGTTAAAAAATCAAATTTTCAGGTGTAAATTTTCAGAGGTTATGTGATATTTCTGTAAATCTACACCTAATTAAATTTTCTGATATTAATATATTCTGTTACAAGAACCTTCCTTTTTTATTGCAAACTTCTTCATATCCTCAATTGTTTAAGTATGCTAATTTCAACTACACAAATTGGGTACCATGTTTTATCATTTTTTATATGACTAAGTTTAGCAGACTATTCATACCTCTTAGCATATTTTCAAAACATTAGTGTCTTACCATTAATATATCTTTCAGATAGATATTCACCTCCTCTATTACACATGATCCCTTTAACAATATCTAAAGTTAATTTTGTCATTTATATTTTATATCAAAATTTCAAAAAGCTGATTGTCATATTACATGCTTTATTCCTTTCTCTTTGTTTTTACTTTACAATTCTATCTAAATAGGCTGGCCTTTATATTATAATTTATAACATTAAAATATTATATTTCTGTCTCTAACTTTGTTATTACTATTCAATATTAATAAAAGTTATAATTTCATTTTTTATTTCATGTTAATAATTGAATGTAATATTAATGTTAAACTTATGAGCTGAGTTACTAGCTTCACAATTATTTTGTTATACTATAATGTAATTGGCATAAATCATGCAAAACATCCTATATATAAACTTTTGTAGATTTTTTTCTTACATTTAGATCATAATAATATCCTGCTTCACTCTTATTATCGAAACATGTGAAATTTATACCTTCTATCTTGTCATTTCTTTAATAGTTAGTATAACTAATTTTTTCTGAATCAACAGTAAAATTATTTATGTTAAATTTTTTTAGCTCTATATTATATTCAGCATTATCAAAATACATTACATTTATCTTAGTTTCCAGTGATATATTCTCAGGCAATTTACTTACCTTAGTTTCTGGTAAAGATTTATTATCACCTTCACTATCAACAGAGTTACAATTTGAAAAACCATCAAATATATTATTCTTATTTACTATATCTTCCAAATTAGAAATTTGAGATGATAAAATAGAGGGAATGGTTGGAATGTATATCTCTGTGAAATTTCATTACCTACCTCAGTTACCCCAAGGTTTTTATGGTTAGTAAAATATTTGAGTTAGAAGTCTGTTTGTTAATATAATTTATGATGTTTTGGATTTGCATATAATTGAAGTTAGAAATTACATTTGCACTATGAAACTTGTTTAATTTTTTCTATCCCACTGTACTGAAAAGTATTCTAATTTTTCTAGCTTTGAGAATTTTATATTATAAATTCATATCTGTTATGTCTAGTAGAAACTGTTTAATTTTGTAATATACTAAGCTAGTTTCTTTTTTCTTATCGACTTTGTTACTAACAAAAACTTCATCTATTTTTTTGTCATATTTTCTAGCAAAGTGATACCAGTAAAATATTCATTCTTGTTCTAATTAAATGACTTTATAAAATACATAAATTATGTTTTCTGTTGTAACATGTCCCATATCTCCAGATAAAATAACACTTTGAGTATCCGATTCCTATAATATATTAATAGATGATGTGTTCTGCTAATGAAATTATTTTGTGAAAGTTATTTATTATTTTAATTTCTGTTTTATGAATTGATTCTTATTTAACTCAATTTCAAAATTTTCATTATGTATAGATTCTAATTAAGAGAAATTTTATTATATATTTCAAAATAATTATTTTTCTGTAATTTCAAAATCACAGAAATTTGATCATGTGATTTTTCTTGTATTAAACCTTGCTTATATGAAATATCAGAAATATTATTCTTAGTAGTTAAGAGTAATTCTTGATTCTGAAGTTTCTTTTTCCTGATTCTCATCATTATTTCTTTCTGACCTATTCCTTAAAAACTATTTTTACAAAATCAAGGATCTTGACTTATCCAGAATTTTATAGAGATATTCATGAATGTTATTAATACATTTTGTCTAAATAATACCCTAGAATGGGGTGTTTATAAATACTATTAATATGTTTTGTCTAAATAATGCTCTAGAATGGAATGTTAATAAATGCTATTAATATGTTTTGTCTAAATAATGTCTTAAAATGGGATGTTCATAAATGCAATTAATACATTTTGTCTAAATAATGTTCTAAAATGAGATATTCATGAATACTAGTGCCATTTAAATAATGCTATATATTATATTCATATAATGCACTAGAATGTTTTTATTTAATTTATGATGCTATATTGTCATCAACAATATCTTGTGAAAAAGAGATTATAGATAATTCAGGATTTGTTAAAGATTCAGATTGTGTTGAACTACAACTTGTCAAAAGTATTTGACAACTGTTTTTTTATCAAATTTATCAATAAAATTCAAGGACAAATTGTGATAAAAGGAATTATTTAAATTGCATAAACTTTTTTTTAAAAATATTCCCTAATCAATAGCTATCATATGATATCTTTTCTGTTAAAATTGGATACTTGCTCGGATAGAAATCATGTCTTAAATAAAGTTATCCAAAAATTGCAAATCAAATTATTAATCGTAATGTCTTTCGTTTTCTATAACTTTTATCAGAAGTATAATATATCTTATAAGAACTTGTAGCCTTAAACTAAGTCTATAATATTTATTAGTATCATATTTGCCATTTTCTAGTTAAGATCAGAACTTTACTTAGACTTGACTAAAAAATAATTGAAATTATTGTTGATCATTTTGTCATTTCAGAAAAATTATCAATAAATTCTATATATAAAACATTTTTTGTAACAATAAAATCTTAAAATAATACTAAAAAATCTTAAAGAAAAAATTATTGTGCATCTACTGTAAAGTTTTTAAAGCTATATCATGTGAATATAGCAAATAATCACCAATTAAACTTTAAGGAATAATTGTTAATCTTTACTTTAATTCTTATAATATAGGTTTGCAAACTTTACAGTATGTGTAAAATAATATTATCTTCAAGGCTACTTAGTATTACTTTTAATTTTTACTATAAAATAATAAATTTTTATATGTGACAACTTTTTGATTTGATTTGAGTGACCGACGCGGTCTCGCTTTATGTGACAACTTTTGAAAAATGTTACATCGGAACAAAGTGATCGGCGATAATTTATCTCAAGATCGTAAAGTCTTTCGATTTCGATGAATATTTATTATAGATACCAACTATCTTATACAAAAATGTAGACTAAAATAAGGTCTACAACATTTATTATAACTGTTTTTAATATTTTCTAGTACATTTGAAATTACCAATATTAAACAGTTTAAATATTGAGGTTGACTATTTTCTATTACTTGTATACAGTGGATCTCCTCTATAGTCACCCCCTGTACAATCACATCATATAAATCCCCACTTATAAGCACACCTTTCATGAGGACCAATACTTGGTAATACCATATAAAAATCCCTCTATATGGTTATAATCACACCTTTTATTTTTTGTTTCTATGGTCCCGAGGGGTGTGCTTGTAGAGGGGGTCCACTGTAGTAATATAAAAAGTTCTGTTCATTCAAGCGTATATGAGTTTTTTTTTTTTTTTTGACCGATTCTTATAGGAAGGTATACTAAAATTTCACGATTTGAAAGACTTGGTAATAGCAAGAGTATGGTCCATAGTATTTCTTGTGAAAGTTCTATCAAAGTTATAAGTAAATTTATTATAGGAGTCGTTGATTCATAAGGTACCTTAATAAATGAAATAATGAAATCTAAAAAAAAAAATATTTTTCCGTATGTTAGGTATCACGTGATACGTCAGATCGGACATTTTAGAAAGTATTGAAAAAAATTGTCGAATCGAAATCTACAACGCACAAACCACACTTGACTATCCAATACTATCCGATTACCCAGTTTTTTCATTACATACAGAAACGTTGTCCTACTACAAAAAAACCTCCTTGAAAATAGAAAATACTAAAAATATCGAAAAACCAAAAACCAATAGTTATTAGTTGAACTTATAACAATAATAATAATAAAAAACACCATAGATATATATATTTTCTTCTTTTCGATTGAACGTTTTTAACAAAAAGTTCATCAAATCTGTTAGTTTCATTTCTTTCTATAACTTCTTTCTATTCGTTATTATACATATATTGTATATATGTATATGTAGATTGAAAAAAAAAACCTGATCTCTTTTAACTGATAGATCATCGATCTTCTAAAAGAAATGCCACAGAAAACACCAGCAATTATCGAAGGCACCAATTTAAATTCAAATTATGAAACCAATGAAGACCTAGTTGGGTAAGTTAACTACAAAAATAACGTTATTGAATTTGACATGAAAATGGATCTACGTGGTATTGCCTTGAGAAGATCTGAGAAGATCAGATCGCACATCGTAAGAAAAAAAAATCAAATAAGAGAAAGATAAAAATAATAATAATATATATGTATATAATAATAATAATAATAATAATAATAATAAATTCTTTAATCATATAGAAATTATAAGTTATCAATTAATGAGTCAATAATTCTCGCACTTCACGAATGTTCTTACATTGACTCCAAACATGAAGTACTAGGATATTTAGGGGGAATATGTGATATTGAAGAAGATAACAACATCACTATATGTCGCATAAGCCAATTTGTGGCTTCCGAAAGGTACTTTTTTTAAATATATGTATTATGCGAGTGAAAAAATTTGAAAGATAATAATAATAATAATAATAATAAATCATAATCGCCGTATTTTTTTAGGGAAGTCACTGCATTGATGACGGGAACTGTACAAGAAATAACTCAATCCCGAGAAAGAGCCATTAATACCTTTAAACAATCCGGTGTAGAGTTATTAGGATGGTATCGAAGGTATCTATATGTATAAAATATATGTGTAAAAATATATTTCTTATTTCCGTTATCCATTTTTATTAATTGAAATTAACTTGCAATATTTTATTATTGATATAACAATTAGCAATCTTGCATCGAATCAAATCCCTACACAAAATGATATTAAAAAACAACAAAGGATACAAGAAGAAGTATTTTAAATTATTTTAATTATTTATCGTAATATTATATATATAATTTAATTTAATTTAAATTAATTATTTTGATTTTAATTTTTTTTTTTTTAAAGTTTCCGAATAGCATAGGTGTCATTGTATCAATATCATCCGTGACTTGTCCTCCGATTAACACAAGGATCCCTATCACGGATGGAATCCTTAATTCCCTATGTATGTTTCGAGCACCTATTGAAGATATCAATAATAATAATAATAATAATAAAAATAAAAATAATAATAATAATAATAATAATAATAATAATAATAATAATAATAATAATAATAATAATAATAATAATAATAGTAATAATGACGATAGTAAATCATCTACAACTGGAAAACAAAAAAATGGAAAAATATGGAAGGGTAAAGGGAAAAAAAGCATTAAACCTAATAAACTTACATTTGATATCAATCGTCAAATGTATATGTGTTCAAATGTTATGAAACAATTAAGTTGTGCCTTGAAGGTAGGTTTTTTATTTATTTAATATATATTATAATTATGTATGTAATATATCTTTAATTTTTTACTTTAATTTTAAATTATTTTAATTTTAAATTTTAATTTTAATATTAAACTTTTTAAACTTTATTATTTTTTTTAATAGACAATTCTTCTTGAAACAAAACAAGCATATTCCGGTCAAATTTTAGATTGTAATAATAGAGTTGGTCAACGAATATTTATAGATTCTCAGTATGAAGCTTTTCTTATGAACTTTTTGAAAAAAAGTGTACTTCAGGTAAATGATTTAAATAATTCTTTTGATTATTATTATTATTATTATTTATATAATTATTTGATTATTATTATTATTATTATTATTATTATTATTATTATAATATAATTGTTTGATTATTATTATTATTATCATTATTATATAATTCTTATATAATTCTTGGTTAAAGTTAAGTTAATAAATTTACTTATAGTTTGATAGATCGGTGGAACAAGATTTTAGAACGTTAGCAGTTTCCAAACATCATATCAAAGGACTTATAAGTAAACGAATTAATGGTATCTTAACAATGAATGGTACATCATCCAATGAGAATGAAATGCAAATTAGGCGAAAGAAATTAAATAAAATTATTGAAAAGGTAAATAAATAAAAATTATTGATATGAAAATCATTCATAACGAAAAATAATATTTATTTATTTAATTTTATTTTTAATTAATTTTTTATTTTTATTTTTTTTTTTAGTTAATCATACAAAGAAATTCCAAGCGAAATGTTGATACCAAAAAATCAGAAAATGCGAATGATAATGATGATGATATTAAAGATCAACGACAGAAAGATTACAGAGGAGAATCTTCTTCTACATTTAATGATACTACAATCACAGATATACCGAATATGACGAATATTCTTAAACCAATAATATCACTTCCTTTACCTGAACAACAATTACCTCATTTATCTCAATCAGCTTACCTCATAGAACCTTTACTATTTTCTAATTCTAATTCAAATAATCAATATCCACCACCAATAACGACGACGATGAATATTGATAGAATTATATCGGGTGCAAATGGTTCAAAAGAATTTAATGAAGATTATGCCCCTATTAATAATACATCGAAGCAACAACTTATTAGAAAACTTACTAATATATATGATTCTACGAATTCCGGTTCAAATTCAAAAAGAACTAAAATTGATCTTAATCATGATAATATGAACAATAATAATAAAAATGAATTTGATCAATCTCAACAAATTGATTTCTCACCAGATGATTCTTCTCAACAAGTCACCACATTTTCAACAACAAATGGAAGTCACAGTAATAATAATAATAATAATAATAATAATAATAATAATAATAATAATAATAATAATAAATTTATATCATCCCAATATATGAAATCTCCATCAGGTTCAACAACTTTTACAAATTCCTTGAATGGAACAACAACAACAACAACAACGACAACAACTGGAAATGGAATACAATATTTATTATTAAATAATAATTCTTATCCATATCATTATACAAATGGTTTTCGACAATTTCATGGATCTTATGAAGAATTATCATCACCGATATCAAATATGTCAACGAATATATCACCAATATCAAATATTTCATCATCAAATATATCGTGCAATGGAAATAAATCTAATAATTATTCACCTGGATCATCATCTTCTGGAATTAATTTACCTAGTATTCATGGATTACTTGAAAAAATGAATCATTCACCACCGCTTCAACCTCAACCACCAACACCAACATCACAATCATCACAACAACAACAACAATCACCTTTATCAAGTGGAATTGATTCGAATTTTTCATCTGAAATGATACATGGATCAATTTATCAAAGTAATCAATTTTATCCTTCTTATGGATCATTAACATCACCATCGTCGTCATCGTCGTCGTCACTTCTTCAACCTACAAATCTAGTACATCCATCAATATCACATCAAATGATTAATTCGATTAATTCAATTAATAATAATAATAATAATAATAATAATAATTCAAGAAATTATATTCCAATTGCACCATCACCATTGTCAAATAATAATAATAATATTAATCAACAACAACAACAACAACAGCAACAACCACCTTCTTCTTTACAATCTCCTTCACAGTCAACTACCAATAATAATGTATTTTCAACATCCACGAGATATCCATCAACGGAATCTGATCATAAACAGTGGTAAACAGTGGCAGTCACATTCTTTCATTCTCTCATTATCTCATTTATCCGTTTGTAAATTTTCCTTTTTTTCTCTTTTTATTCATTTTCTTTTCATACAAATAATAATACTTAAATTCAAAAGAAAAACTTAATTTAAATATATATAAATATATATTTTTATCGATATTTTTTTTTCTTTTTTTTTGCCTACCTGTAATTAGTTAAATTAGTTAAAAATTAGTTGATTAGTTAGTCAGTTAGTTGTAAGAAATTAAAAATTATATATAATATATAAAAAAAAATTTTTTTGCATTAATAGTAGACAAAATCCTTAGGAAAATAATAAGAATCTTAATAAAAAATGTATAGAAATTTTTTATTCATCAAAATAATAAATGGCTAAAATATATAAATTAAATATAATAAAATAAAATTAATCAATTTTACTCGGAAATTTTAAATGTCAAACAGTTTTAATTAAATCTTTTAATAAATTCCATTAGCAATGAATGATCCATTTTGCACATTTACTAGAAAAAATCTCTACGAGGTGTATTAAATCTTTTAATTAGCCCTATTGGACAATGAATGATGCATTTTACACATTCACTAGAAAAAATCTCTACTAGGTGTATTAAATCTTTTAATAAGCCCCCATTGGACAATGAATTATACATTTACTAGAAAAGTCTCTACTAGGTGTTTGTAGTAAAGATCTGTGGAATCATTTTCCATCTTTTTTTGATTTCATAATCTGTATCAGATTCCATTTGTCCCATTAAAAATATTATAAAATCTTTAACTTTCAATAGTCAAAAGTGTGGGATTGATCATCACTAAGCTTCCCCTTGAGAATCCTTAGGAAACAATGTTGCACACACAACTCCAATATATTGCTTTTCTAACAATTTTTTGGTTGCGTTTGAGTTTGTCTGGGAATTCCTAAGAATTCCAGATTTATTAATTCCTCGATTTATTTATTTTTAACGGATTTAAAAAAAAAGATAAAATTTCACTTACGCGATCTCTTCTCGAGGAACTTTTCCAGGAATGTAATTTTGGGAGTATAGGTTCGGAATTATTTATACAATAAAATTCCATCCCACTCCATTATTGATGAATCTGTTATTATTATTATCGTTTGTTTTTTTTCGAAAATGATTTTAATAGAGAGTGAAGAAAAGGATTTAATAGAGAGGAGTTATTTCTGTATAGTGATCTTTCATAGATTATATAGGAAATTATCACATGATAAACGTAAGTAAGTTTAACAATATCTATTTCTTTATTTAGATAATTTAATTTAATTTAAACATCCATTACAAACATTGAGCACATCAGTGAGTAGAAAACTTTTGTTGTTGTTATATATAATGGTAGAAATTATTATTATTATTTTTTTTTTATCTATAAATAAATAATATCTATCTATCTATCTATTATCTATATATTCTTCTCTATATCTAATAATATATATATATGCGGATATATATCTCATACATGACAGTCGAATACTTTACGTCCATACTTGGCAGCTGTTAGATCTACATTGACAGCAGCACTTTGTTTAGAAAATTTTTCTTCACAACTTGTAGAACGACATAATAAACCTGAAGTTGAAGCTAGGTAAATAAGATATATATTTTTTAATCGATATTACATTAATATATATATATATTTATTTATTTATTGATTTTGATATATCTTGATATATATATAATTATTTATATTGATATCTTGATATATATATTAATAAATTAGATCCTCGCCGGAAGTAGTAGCGAATGCATTAACAATTAGTAGAAATGAGAATGAAAGGGTTTACATAGAACCATCGGTTAATTCAATTCGAATTAGTATTAAAATTAAACAAGCCGATGATATTGAAAAAATTTTATGTCATAAATTTACTAGATTTATGACTATTCGAGCGGAGAATTTTATTATTCTTAGAAGAAAACCGATTGAGGTAACCATTTTTTTTCATCATTATAATTATTCAATTTCTCAATTATTAATGTCTCATTATTATTATTATTATTATTATTATTATTATTCACAATTGTTAGGGATATGATATTAGTTTTTTAGTTACTAATTTCCATACAGAACAAATGTATAAACATAAATTAGTAGATTTTATTATTCAATTTATGGAAGAAGTAGATAGAGAAATTAGTGAAATGAAATTAAGTTTAAATTCACGTGCCAGATTAGTGGCCGAATCTTACCTTTTAGAGGTTGGTATCATTTATTTTAATTATTTTATTATCTATTTATTTTTATCTATTTATTACCTATTTATTTTATCTATTTATGATATATATTTATATATCTATTTATATATATCTATTAATTATTAATTATCTTTTTTTTTTCTAGTTATATTCCAAATAAAATAAAAATTAGAGAGAATTATTTAACTTATTTAACTGGGAATATATATATATATATATATATATATATATTAGGTCAGAAACAAGAATATTAATTTATGAATAAATTATTTTTTTTTTATATTGCGAAAAATCTTTCCTTCTCATTCCATTCATTCATTCATTCACTTATTTATTCTTTATTATTATTCTATTCTTTTTTTTATGATAATTGTTTATGATTTTAAAGATTAACTTTGAAATGAAATATTATATTATTATTATTATTATTATTACTAATTAATCATTTAAAAAGAGAAAAAGAAAAAAGTTCAAATTAAAATAATAATAATAATAATAATTAATCATCATCAAAATTATTATTATTATTATTATTATTATTATTATTATTATTATTATTATTATTAGGTATTATTATTGGATATTTATAACTATTTGAATCTTAGAACGCAAAAATTTGGATTGAAATTACGCTACGAATTAACGAAAATGTTGCAACGTTAAACGGTCACCTTCTCTTTCATCATCAATTGGAAGTAACATCATTTTTTATCCTTGTTCGTGTCGTCGTCGTTGACTTATTTCCACTATTGGCTCGTTTTTTGAAACTATTAATTATTCCATCATTCAATTTTTTGGCCACCCAGAAAATTCGTAATTTGTAAGGCATAAATGTCGAAAATCGGGCACTCTCATTTTGTCTTGGCATGGGAAGCGCATTATTGGCCATAATTATATACTAAAAAATAAAATATTTCGATTAATATTTTAATTATAAATAAATATATTTATTATTTTAATGAGATTTAATTAATATATTGGATGATTATGATGATAATGGATTAATAACTATTAATTAATCATTTATTAATTATTAATTAATTATTAAAATGTTTCAAATTACTTACAAGTGGGAAAAGAAGTGCAAATACTCCGGCACTTAGAAATTGATCAACAAAGAACGTTATCGCAGTAAATGTAAAACCTGTAAATTAATTAACAATAGTAATAATAACAATAGTAATATAATAACAATATTATTATTGTTATTGTTATTATTATTATTTATTATAATCATATAAATAAATATAAAATAAAATAAATAAATATCATCATTTTACCAAATCCGGCAAAATAAGACCATCTTTCTTCAAAGTATTCTATTCTTTGTTCCAATGTCCATCCTTTATTAATCCATTTATATCTAATATATATTTAATAAATATTATTATCATATTAATATTCATCTATATATTATTATTATTACGACTTAGTGTGATCATCAATATTGCTCTTGAAACTGTGTTCGATATTGAAAAAAAAAACTTACTCAAAACTATAATAAGCGTATATCCAACAAAAATACATGAATGATATTAATGGTCCAAAAATTGGAACAATATAAATTACAGTGGCCACCACCAAATAATTCATAAACAATATGGCTCGATATATTTCTCCCGCTATAACTCTTATTAATCTATATTATAGATAGATAGACATAAAAATAGATATAAATTATTATTCTAAATAAAATAATATTTTGATGATGATTTACCTATTATATGTGAGTTTTGAATTTATAGGTTGACCGTATTGTAATCGATACGCTCGATCCGCAATCTCTTGATACCAAATCGCATTCAATACGAAACTAAGCAGAAATATTGGATATACCCAGAATAACTAGAAAATGAATAATTAATAATAAAAAAAAAAATAATAAACGTTCATACTCTATTATTATAACTATAATTATGATCTATTCTAACTATTATTATTATTATTATTATATTCTATTTATAATTATAATTATACTCTATTATAATTATTATTATTATTATTATTATTATTATTATTATAATTATTATTATTATTATTATACTAATTATAATTATGCTCTATTATTATACTTTTATTATACCTCTATAATACTCTATAATTATTCTCCATTATATTCCAATATTATACTTCAATTATTTATATAATTACTTGATATGTTAAAGCCACGATTGTATCCAACATATTAGTAATGAAAGGTGAATAACCTCCATTATCTTCTCCTTCATGAATCGATCCAAAATTTGTTTTTCTCAAAAAGAAATGTAATATTGGTAAGGTGATATGATTGAAAAAGAAAATACTCCCTAAGAAAAGAACTCCATTTAATGTAAAACATTTTAATGTACGATTTAAAATGGTTTGGGATCTTTGAGTTTACATCACATGATGTATATAGATGTCAATTGAATAATAATAACAATAAATTAAGTTATTCCCATTGTATTAAAAAAAATTTTTGGATAATATATTTTGAATTGAATAATAAATGTTTTGGAATGAATAATTTGAATAATAAATGTTTTGAATCAATATTTTTTTGTTGAATAAATGAATGAATATATTATAATTATTGAAATTTATGAATACCCATATATAGTGATTAAACTTGAAGGCCATGAAAAAGCATCTTTTAGGCCACTCCAAAAATAAAAAAGACATAACTTGCAATTATCTATGAAATCAAGTTTTTTCTTTATGCTCCTGGAAGGGGGTACTGGCGCCATTCTAATTTTATATATATATATATATATATATAAATTCAATATAATCTCTTCTATAAGTTTTTTATGTATAATACTTTTTTGATATATCTTTGAAGAATATATCACTTCTATAAATTTTTTTTGAGAAAGCTTTTAGCTTTATTGTTTAAACTTTTCATGGTTTTTTACAGTTTTTATGTGGTATTTTTTTTTTTTGTGCGTGGTAAAATAATAATTCAGGGACAGTATTTTTAGGGCACAGTATATCTAACTAGTGGTGATTGTCACCACAGTAATTTTCTGCCCAGTTTTTGGGTCTGTGTAAAGGGAAATGGATAATAATAAACATTCCGATTGATTGACATCGCCGTGTTACCAATTTTAAATTTTTTAATTAAAAATAATATTTGGTGTGACATCACCAGTTCCAAATTCATGCGCCACGAATCACTTTTGGAAAAATACCAAAAATTCCACAACACAAGAAAAGTTAGTAAAAGTATTTGTGGAATGATAAAATTCGCTAAAATTAAAATGCTAATTATGGTACAATGAGTGATCTAAATTGTACAAACTTTTTTTTATTTGATTCCCCTAAACTAGAGCTATCTTATGATATAT